ATTGTCGCTCACTAATAGCAGCCCTCATCATAACAATTCATTTTCTAATAACAATAATACCGTCATATCATCCGATGATACAGTGCTAGTGTTGACACATATTTTCGCTAATAATAACAACACGACTGTCGCCGACTCGGCCAACAGCTCACTCACAGATGGCCACCAAATCATGTCCCACGACATGATGTATATCATCATTACGTCGGTCATCCTGGGCTTCCTCACCCTCAGCACAGTCATCGGCAATGTGTTTGTGATCGCAGCCATATTTCTCGAGCGAAACCTGCGAACGGTTGGCAACTACTTAGTGCTGTCGCTGGCGGTGGCCGACCTCATGGTGGCCTGTCTTGTCATGCCTTTGGGCGCTGTGTCTGAAGTGACCCAACAGTGGACTTTGGGACGAGTGTTGTGTGAACTCTGGACGTCGGCCGACGTGCTCTGCTGTACGGCCAGTATCCTACACCTCCTGGCCATCGCTGTCGTATGTTATCTCAAGATATATGTCCTTATTTTGCTTATATCTCTCGTTTTCATAATTATGTTTACTTTTCTCTCACTCTATATACATATTCTGTGTATTATTCTGTGGTTTCGCTAATCATTCATAACTCGCGTCGATATTAATATAATATAATATTAGTGATGAATACGTGTATTGCTTTCATTTCATTTATGGTGTGGTGTTTATTTTAATGATTACCAGCATGAAAATGATTTGAATTTAGTTTTATTATTTAAAAATAGCTATAATTTATACGTTGGTTCGTATGTGTGTTTGATTTTCATGTCTGAATAAATAACAAATTTTTATTATAAATATTAATAATTTTTGGGAATGATTTTTTTTGTCAAAATCTTATATAAATGTCGCTTTTCGGTAGTTTTGTTACATTTTTTAGATAAAGTTATATTTTATTATTATATAAGTTGTGAAAGATTTGCAGCGAAAAATTCTTAAAATATTATACATTTTTATTTTTGAAATTTTTTCGCTGCCATCTATTTATATGTTATCAGCAATCGATTGAAAAATTTTGATTTCCAGTAGAAACGGTTCATAATATTTTTTTTATCAATTATTTATCACATTTTTATTGTGTTGTGAAATATTTTCAAATGTTATGTAAGGAGTCATTAATCAAAATCGGAATTCATTTTTTCGCAACTTAACTAAAAAATATTAGAAAATTTGAAATAAAATAATTTTTTGTATTTTATATTATTTTGTATTTTGTAAATTATATATTTTTAATTTTTATTAAGTATTTTATGAATATAGATATTTAAATATTCTGTATACTCGTTTGTAGTTAACAGGATAAGAATTCTTATATGTTTTATCATTTTTATTATAAGACATCAAATACTGTATTAAATGAAACTACCGTATTCTTGCTTATTATAAATAATTAAACTTTTTTAGCTATAAATTTAATTTTTAATTTCTTAGAAGTTATATACTATATTAAATGAGGGATAAAAATACAAATAAAGTATATTAAACAGAAAATCTATAGACAAATATTAAAATAAATAAAATACTAATTAATTTATTATTCTAAACATGTTTGTTTTAATAAAGTTTTTAAAATTTCCAAAACATTTACCAATACAGAAATATTCACCAAAATCAATATAAAGTCTATTATTAGAGTCACAAATAGATGTATATTTTAATTTTCTTTATTATTCAATAATATTTGCCTTTATATGAACTTATAATTCATAGCCTCTTATCTCCCAAAAAGATCAGTTAAAAGGTTTAAATGAAATATGAGTTAAAACTTATTGAAGAGTAAAGTGAATAAGAGAATAGAAATATGAGAATAGATTTTTATAAATTTAGAAAATGTTATTTTTACATATAATATATATAATATACACTGTATATAAATTTATACAGTATATTATACACTGTATATGGTTGAAGTATAAATATAGTATAAATTCATTGAATCAGAAATTATAATTGGCATCAAAATGAATGCGAGAATTTAAAGCCTATTTTCTCTAAACTAGTTTTTTCTCAAATAAAGTACAGAATAAAAACTATAATACAATAATGTGAGAGCTATTCGTAAGTTAAATATAATTTTTGAAAGTTTTCCACTTTTATACAGTATCATTTATTAGTAAAACTTTTCAAATACGACATTTCTGTGCAGGAAATCTTAAAATAAGCTTTTCTCTAGTTATGTATTCAGTGAACTCTATTGGAAGATATTATTGCCTATTATTATTGCTTTCTTAAGCGGCTGTGAAAACTAATTGCGGAAAATTAAGTCAGAAATTGTTACGAAAATATTTTTTCAGACTCGAGATTACCATAAGTTTAGTCGTTTTCTAGGAATCAATATATAATAATAAGACTTTTTTATAACTATGTCTTCTGTTGGGAAAACTTTTGTGTTTCTATCAGAAATGAGAGCTAAAACTTTTGCATTGAAAATGATTAACTATTAATTGTCGCTCACTAATAGCAGCCCTCATCATAACAATTCATTTTCTAATAACAATAATACCGTCATATCATCCGATGATACAGTGCTAGTGTTGACACATATTTTCGCTAATAATAACAACACGACTATCGCTGACTCGGCCAACAGCTCACTCACAGATGGCCACCAAATCATGTCCCACGACATGATGTATATCATCATCACGTCTGTCATCCTGGGCTTCCTCACCCTCAGCACAGTCATCGGCAATGTGTTTGTGATCGCAGCCATATTTCTCGAGCGAAACCTGCGAACGGTTGGCAACTACTTAGTCCTGTCGCTGGCGGTGGCCGACCTCATGGTCGCCTGTCTTGTCATGCCTTTGGGCGCTGTGTCTGAAGTGACCCAACAGTGGACTTTGGGAAGAGTGTTGTGTGAACTCTGGACGTCGGCCGACGTGCTCTGCTGTACGGCCAGTATCCTACACCTCCTGGCCATCGCTGTCGTATGTTATCTCAAGAGCTATATGTCCTTATTTTGCTTATATCTCTCGTTTTCATAATTATGTTTACTTTTCTCTCACTCTATATACATATTCTGTATATTATTCTGTATATTATTCTGTGGTTTCGCTAATCATTCATAACTCGCGTCGATATTAATATAATATAATATTAGTGATGAATACGTGTATTGCTTTCATTTCATTTATGGTGTGGTGTTTATTTTAATGATTACCAGCGTCAAAATGATTTGAATTTAGTTTTATTATTTAAAAATAGCTTTAATTTATACGTTGGTTCGTATGTGTGTTTGATTTTCATGTCTGAATAAATAACAAATTTTTATTATAAATATTAATTATTTTTGGGAATGATTTTTTTTGTCAAAATCTTATATAAATGTCGCTTTTCGGTAGTTTTGTTACATTTTTTAGATAAAGTTATATTTTATTATTATATAAGTTGTGAAAGATTTGCAGCAAAAAATTCTTAAAATATTATACATTTTTATTTGTGAAATTTTTTCCATGTTATCAGCAATCGATTGAAAAATTTTGATTTCCAGTAGAAACGGTTCATAATATTTTTTTTTATCAATTATTTATCACATTTTTATTGTGTTGTGAAATTTTTTCAAATGTTATGTAAGGAGTCATTAATCAAAATCGGAATTCAGTTTTTCGCAACTTAACTAAAAAAATATTTGAAAATTTGAAATAAAATAATTTTTTTTGTATTTTATACAGTATATTTAAAATTTTAATATATTTTTTATTTTTATTAAGTATTTTATGAATATAGATATTTAAATATTCTGTATACTCGTTTGTAGTTAACAGGATAAGAATTCTTATATGTTTTTATCATTTTTATTATAAGACATCAAATACTAATTAAATTTTTAATTTCTTAGAAGTTATATAAAATGAGGGATAAAAATACAAATAAAGTATATTAAGCAGAAAACCTATAGAAAAATATTAAAACAAATAAAATACTAATTAATTAATTATTCTAAACATGTTTGTTTTAATAAAGTTTTTAAAATTTCCAAAACATTTACCAATACAGAAATATTCACCAAAATCAATATAAAGTCTATTATTAGAGTCACAAATAGATGTATATTTAAATTTTCTTTATTATTATATGTATTGTACTCAACATTGAGTAATATTTGCCAAGTAATATATATTTGTAAAATATATACCCAGTAATATTTATATGAACTTATAATTCATATCCCCTTATCTCCCAAAAAGATCAGTTGAAGTCTTAAATGAAATATGAGTTAAAACTTATTGAAGAGTAAAGTGAATAAGAGAATAGAAATATGAGAATAGATTTAGAAAATGTTATTTTTACATATAATATATATAATATATACTGTATAATATACAGTGTATATGATTGAAGTATAAATGTAGCATAAATGCATTGAATCAGAAATTATAATTGGCATCAAAATGAATGCGATAATTTAAAGCCTATTTTCTCTAAACTAGTTTTTTCTCAAATAAAGTACAGAATAAAAACTATAATACAATAATGTGAGAGCTATTCGTAAGTTAAATATAATTTCTAAAGTTTTCCACTTTTATACAGTATCATTTATTAGTAAAACTTTTCAAATATGACATTTCAATGCAGGAAATCTTTAAATAAGCTTTTCTCTAGTTATGTATTCAATGAACTCTATTGGAAGATATTATTGCCTATTATTATTGCTTTCCTAAGCGGCTGTGAAAACTAATTGCGGAAAATTAAGTCAGAAATTGTTACGAAAATATTTTTTCAGACTCAAGATTACCATAAGTTTTGAGTCGTTTTCTAGGAATCAATATATAATAATAAGACTTTTTTATAACTATGTCTTCTGTTGGGAAAACTTTTGTGTTTCTATCAGAAATGAGAGCTAAAACTTTTGCATTGAAAATGATTAACTATTTCCGATCTATTATTACTCAAAATTCTGTGCTTTCTCTCTCTCTCTCTCTCTCTCTCTCTCTCTCTCATTCTCTCAAATGAATATTCCTATTGTTATATAAGGGATTGAATTACACAAAATAGCGAGTATTACAAAAATATATTTGATTCAAATTTTGCAAATGTTTTCTCAAATGAATAGATATTTTCGTAAACAATATCTTTTTCGTATCTATTCGCATGTATTAAAGATATTAAAATCGAGATCTTACTTACTTACAGTACTTTACTTACTTTCCAATCGTTAAAAGTCACTATCAAAACAAAATCAATAAAAAATAGATTTTCATTGTATAAACGCTGTGTTATATCTAAATATTTAAACTTCGAGATAATCTCAACTTTATTTGTTTTTTAAATTGATTTTCAAAGTAATTCATAATCCATTAAAAACTTTTTTAAATGTTAAATCTCAAGACTACGTATAACATAAACACTTGAAAACTTGATTATTAAACAGAATGATACAGGTACTATTAAAAGTTTAAATCCATATATATTTCCCATGAAATTATGTTTCAATTAAACATTCATTAATATACTTATTAAATATTGGTAATTATATCCTTATTTATCTATGTAATTTTCATATATTAATTTTTCATAATATGTGGACTTCACATGTTTTCCAAGTCCACATATACATCCTGGATGTAACATCCATGTATACCTAACTTATATCCATATTCATGATATTTAAATTGAGTTTTAAAATATCAGTCCCTAGAAATGAGCTCAAATGAAATGCTATTCATACAGGGATATGTTTTCAAATTAAGTTTACCTTATCTGGAATATATTGACTATTCACCATGTTTATATAGTTATGTATTTATTAAGTGTATTTTGTCAATTTATCCAATTTTGAGTTTTGTGAATTTTAAATAAATATTAATTTAATGCATATAATGCAAATGAAACCTTTTATCCATATATGAACTGGGTATATTTTATTTGTTGTCTCTGGTCGTAAGACAATATAACAATCTTAGATATCGAT